TGCTTTGCTGGGGAATAAAGATCTCTGAAGAGAAACCCCTTAGCAGACATACTTTTGTCAAGTAGCATAAAATCTTTTACTAGGGAAAAGAGTCCTTTTAGGAAACAACATTTTCATCATGAACTTCGTATGGGTAACAACCTCACATGATCTTTATGTTACTGCTCATATCCTACTGAGGATAACGATCCAAATTCGATTGCAGATAATGATCCTGACCTCTGATGAAGGAACATCAATAAATGGACTTAAGTCTCTGATGAGTCGAGGATAACAATCCTAACTTCTCGACATGCTTTTCAAATTCATAAATTGTTTAGCCCACGCTTGGACTTAATCTGATCAATCCTTGAAGAAGAGAAAATGCCCATGCATAATGCATTGCCCCAGCCTGTAAGACTTTTGAAGAAAATTTCCTTGAGAGGACCTTCTGAGATCTATACCATAAAGAAAATTTGCCCTAGTGTTATCAACTTTGGAGCATACAGCTACTGGCTGACCAAAGTTAGAAACAATTTCAACCATGCTTGAGTGAATTCTCGTGCATCTGTAGATTCTGAATAGACTTTCTTATAATCAACGAATTCTTAGAGAGATTTGTCAAATCTCGACATAACTGCCCCAGTTTGACTGTACTTTTGAGGGATTAAATCTCGACTTGAGTGCCTCAGATTGGCTGAAAACTTACTCAACACAGTATTTAACATGTTTTCCCCTGATCAACAGAGTCTCGACAAATCTTTCCTTCATCTCATGCTCACGAAGAAATGAGAAGCTCGCGGAGTTATGAAGACAACACAACCTTAGGGGGGGCTGGCTTGCATCTTGAAAGTAGGCTACTTCACAACCAAACTTCTAAACTATATTTGTTTCATTCTCCAAATACTTTTAAGAAAAACGTCCCACGGGACCAACTAAAAGTAATGCACCACTGCTCGATAGAGACTCTAGGCAATCGACTTTTATAATTTGCTTCAGATCATTTCTCAAACTGGTCTTCTTTTACTCAACAAAATCAATAGAAGATCTACCCCAACTTAAGATCATTCCCACAAATGATTTACCTTTCAATGGTATCCTGAAGCAATTTGTCCCGTGAGATAATCAAACTTTCATATGATGCTCATTATGCAAGCTCGCTTGATGTTTCAATACTTATTCATATGGAAATAATTTTTATTCTAAGAATGATAATTCTAGTGCAAATCTTATGTTTGTCTTGAAGTTTAAAAACTTATATTGAAAAGATATTTAAAACATAGAATTTTTTTGTACAAAAGATAGTAAAAAGATGGAGTGATACCAACTCAACAAATTAGCAAACCTCCTAGAGGTCAGGTTACCGTACTCTCGTTACAGTATTGATTTCGAATTGACCCTTGCTTCAGTTAGGACTTTTAAGGATTGTAACGTGGCCTGGTTCACGTTTTTAGAAGAAAAGGATTTAAGGCTCAAAATTTTTGGTGCCCACCCCCTTAATGATGTTCTCCAGTCCTAAATTCAGTTAAACCAATATGAGCACTCATCTCTCAAAAGGAGTTTATAATGGATGAGGAGTCAAATGAGGAATTTTGGACATGGAAGTCACTCACCTCTTTTACTCTTGGTGTTTGATCACACGACTTTATTCTTTGCGGAGGATTTTTATTTGGTAATCCCTCCTTTGCATTTCACGCTTTTTCGCTTTCCCTAAATTTTTCCTGGACAAATTCCTTTTGAATTTAACTTTGAAGTCCAGTGGGATGCCCTGACTTTTTCCTAAGCGACTTGTTTTCCAAGTTTCGACTTAACGGGATTTTTGTCTCTTTCTTTCATCATTTTCAAACATTCTTATTTTTTGAACACGTCGTGTGCCTTTGAATCATTTTTGACTTCCTGAGAAGGTGTAACCACCTTACTGTTTGGTTGACGAGGAATAACCGTTATGCTGTCGTCGTCTTTTGACCTCTTGACGTGCGAGAGATATCCATTGGGATATCGTTCTCCTTGATGCACACTACTGATAGATGAGAATTAACCATTGCGGTTTTGACTTTCCTTAGCTTTTGATGGATAACCATTATTGTATCCTTAGATGCACACTCCTTATGAGTTATGAATACTCAATCAGATTAACTGAAATCTACCCATCCCCGGGTTAAATGTGAGGTTTTTTTCTGAACAGAAAAGAAACTCCTACTTCAAGGCTCAAAGGGGTTGACGAGGGTTTATCTCCCTTATATCTCCAGTGTTTAGGAATTGAAACAAGGCATGTACATCGTCAGTAGGGTTTTATTCAAAAGCACACCGTTTGAAATTTTTGGTATATTACTCATCATCCTCCCTCCAGAGGTATTTTGCTTTATTTAACAAGAATTAAGTATCAACAAGAAAAGAAAAACATTAATGAGTGAATAGAATCGATTAATTCAAGACAAACATATTCAATGCATTATGATTAATATTAAAAATTAAGCAAGTTTTTCATACAAGAAAGTACTGAAACAAAACAAGAAAGATTACAAATGAGAATGCAAATGTAATTTGAAAATTCCATGTTAAGAAGACTAGTCTCTGTATGGACTTGTTGCTTCAAACGATGCTCTGGAAGTCTGACATTCACTGAATCAAAGGAGACTTCAAATCTGGCTGGCTGGACCAAAATTGATGACTTTGGTGTCAATCAGGTCTCGCACCTTATCTTTGAATGCTTTACGACCTTTAGTTGAATGGCCAGATGCCCCAACATGGTAATTACATCAGATATTCCTTCAATAGATATGATGAATGCTTCATCAAGTGAACTTGTATAAACTACATCACAAAGTATCTTCTAACACAAAGAATAAAGGTCAACCATCTTCTACTATACAGAAGAGAAAATCAGTCGTTGAATTCCAGAGCATCTCCAACTAGACAAAAGAAGCACCATCTTCTATTACATAGAAGCAACATCCAGCAACCATACCAAAGGATCTTCTACTACACATAAGAAAGTAAACTTCATCTACTACTTCGAAAGAGAGATGTTTTAGCAACCGAATTACGAAGAATCTCCTACTTCACAAAAGAGTCTCCGTCTTCTACTACACAAAAGAAAAATTCAGAAGCTGTAATAAAGAATCTTCTACTACACAGAAGAAACTAAACTCTGAATGTAGAACTCGACCTTTGAGGTATTTTTATTCTACACAGCAGTAGATGTCCAAGAACTTGGCATCTTATGCTTCTTTTTCTTAGAAGTATCCCTATTTTCTACTACATAGAAGAAGCACTCAGCTGAGGAGAAAGAGCCTGAAATGGTTTACCAAACATGGACTGAACCTTGGAAAAGAAGTCAGACAAGTGCCAAACTTCGTACTTTAATCTCTTGCAATCTTCAATATCATAACCAGGTGCCCCAGAACGGGAGACACGTCTAGCCTTTACCTCAAAATCAGGAAAGAAATTTATGGGATGATGACCCAAAGCACGAAGGTTAATCAACCGAGCTTCCAACACATGAGGAAGTAACTGGATACATGGTATTGAGATTGCACCAGAAAATAGTTGTTAACAAGAAAATATAGGAACATGTAGTCCTGGGCGAGACCCACAATCATCCACGGGAAGGTTAGTAATGGCCCAGACGAAATCTACCTCAATATGTCCAATTTCCACAATTGTTTCACTTTACACAATATTTATTGGTCATTAAAAGTTAAGGCAAAAATTGTAAAAAATTGCAAATTAAACGATGGGGTTTTGATGGGATAGGGTTCATAATTTTTTGTCTCTTTGCATTCTCATAAGAATAAAATTCTCTTCGTCTTTCTCAATCTCGCAACTATGTCGCTCTTCCACCTTCTTCTTTCTTTTGATTCGCCGCCACCGCGATACACACAGTTCTCTCTCCTCTTTCTTCTTCGTTCACACCTCTTCAGCCTCCTCCTATCCAACACCGTTGTTCTCTTTCAATTCTGGTCTCAAACGCTCTTGACCTTACTCGTCACCTCCAAATCGAAATGTAACACAAAGCACAATATGTCTATGAAAACGAATATTGAAGTGCCATTGAAGCAAGAGAGGGAGAACTCGAATCGTACATGCCGGAGTCGCTCCGACGGCTTTTTAATCACAGTGAGAAAGAGAATCGGGATTTACAGACTCCAAGTAAGGCTCGATTCACACCTTCACACCTTTTTCCTACCGTTTTTGTTTTCTTCTTCGCATTCCTGTTATTGCATTTTTTATGCGCGATGATGCGGATTTAACACCATTGAAATTAGTTAAGCATCGCTACAAAACTATGGTTGTGATGCTGTTGATGAAGGAGCGAGGATGATGATGATGATTGAAGTGCAGCATGAGGTTATTGAAGGGTGAGGTTACAGTGAAGAATTTGTTGATGCTGAGATTGAAGCAGAGGTGTTGTCGATGAGTGATGACGATGTGAAACGGCTAGTTACAGATTAATCATTGACGAAGCTCATATAGCATGAAAAGATGTCGAAGATTCAGCGGAAAGGAGAATGAACAATAGAATATAAGGAAGAATGGCAGAGAGAATTGAAGGCGATTGCCAAGAGAGAATACAGAGGAATCGTGAGAAATATGCAGAGAGGATCAAAATGGAGCTTGTGCCGAGGGAGAATTTTTATGGAGCTTTCTTTTCTATAGAATCGAAGAATGAAGATGAAGATGAAGGTGAGGGAAGCGGGAAGAATATTTCTTGGTGATTCTTCAGGGTGCTGAAGAATGAATCGGTCCTGGTAAGATTTTCTGTTTATATATTTTGTTGGAATCTGAAAATTAGTTAGGGATGTTTTAATCTGAGCCCTTGCTTTCAAAAGTTTGTTACCAAAATGGATTGCTAGGATTGCATCAGATACTGAGCTGGAAAATTCTGTTTCTGAATATTTTCTGATTTAATAATTCCTTCTCTATTCCTAAGGCAAAACTTTCCTCTCCTTTTTGTTAGGTACTGGTGCAAGGTATTCATTATCTTGTTGTTCTGAAAACACAAAACTGCTAGGCAGGTCTCATACGTAACGCAAGGTAACAGACTTGATACCAACAAGAATGAGATTCTTCGTAATCTCAGCACCAAGACCCTGCATCCCCGGCATAAGAACTCTAGCATCAAAGAGCCTACACATGGTCTCTCGACCATACACCGCACGCTGCCTGCTATGAAGATCTTCATCAATATCTTTCAAACTAGCATCTCCTAAAGTCATGACGTAATTCCCTCGTTCAAGAATCGCCTCACTATTTCCACTGTCATTTTGTTTTGAATTTTAGCCAAAATTGTTAGAAAGAGCTAGCCTTTATGATATTCTTTTCTATTTATTTTCTTTCGCAATGTTTTGGTGCAGATTAGTACATGGCCAAGAGCAGGTATACATCAGCTCTGATTAGAGGAGCATGATGGGTGATGCTACGATGCAACCGCAAGTTTAGTAATGAAAGGCAATCATTGTAAACCGGTTTGAACTCGGTTGGTTTGGACTTTATGCAATGTAAGGAATTTCTTCCATGGATATGCACCTGATTATGGATAAAATAGTGAACTGGTTTTGAAGCCTGCTTAACCTAGTATTAAACCTATTTCTCTCTTTAGTGTTTAGACAGCAACATGTGGAACTATTTTGCATCAAATTTATAAACTTGTTTGATTTGGAATTTTGTATATGATCTTGTAGGTTTTTCCGAGTCCACAACTTTTGTATCTATGAACTGATGTGTAAAACTGAATATGGATATATGGATAACGTGAACTGCTTGATTTATGATGCCTTGGATTGTTTATGTATGCAGGTGTTTTACTCATAATCCTAGCTTGCGGTTAATTAAAAGGTGAAGACATAGCATAACATTGGATCTGTCTTATCGGTGCAGTGGCTTGTGCACTGTTATGGTTGGTTATTTTTTGGGCAGCTGGAAGTACAAAAGCTTATAGATGAAGAAGCATGGAGATGGAGAATGGAGTTAGGTTTTTAGGAACTAGGCTTAGAACAATGGTTTTGGTGTAGTTTCCTGGTTCTTATTGTTTTTTCTGTGAAATTATGTCAAAAGATATATGCAGGGTAATTGGTTTCATATAATTGCTCCTGAATTTGTAATGGATGTGGTTGTTATTTGTAATGGGATTTGATGGTTTTTGAATCTTTGACATCATGGATGAATGAGCATGATGAACTTTTGACTGAAATTTGAATGAAATTAATGAAAACCTCAAAAGCTTATTCACCGCCTGAACAATAACATTGCATTTATCTTCAATCTCCCTTGAAACTTAGAGTAGAAATTTCTCATGAATGAAACATCATTTTAAATCTTGTTTTTTCCTCATAATGATTCTTGACATCTTAAATAATCTTGTAATTCAAACTCCTTTTGAATTCAAACGAAAGCTTCCTCAAAATTAATTCAAGTTTATTAATCCCTTTTTCCTCGGAATAATCTTTCAACTTGAACCGAAGTAAACACCTAAATAAAATTGAATGGAACTTTGCTGGTAAACAACAATGGCCTTTGTTTGGTAACTTGTAATTTTAATTCCAAACAAATTCTTTCTTTACGGCCTTGCAAACCTTAAGTCTTTTCAATTCATCTGAACGCTTTAGGCAACAAGAGTGAATGATAACCAATCATAGAATTCAAATTAATCTTCGTCTCTCAAAGAAATCAGATCTTAAGACAAAATGAAAAGAATCCTCAAGCTCATCTCCTGAGACATAGAACTTGTATTTCAATCCAACACAATAAATATGCCCAGAATAATCCTCTAAGATGGGAGTGATACTTGGATCACATAAGATCATATCTAAGGAAACTCATTTGGAACACAATAGATGAAAAATCATGATCTTATGAGAAGTACATTGACTGAAAAAGAAGCTTAACATCAAATCCACAGTTTGTGGTCTTCTCAGTTAGAACCATTGATGAATGGATACTTTGAATACCCTTGAATGGGAAGGATATCCATAAAGCCACAGAAACCCTAATTCAACATATTCACCAATTGAAGAAAAATCAGGAGAAACAGGAACATCAAGCTTTATTTGATATACGCGCCTAAAAAGAATGAGAAAACCTTGACATCGCACGCCCACTGAACTTTTGAACCTTAGGAGCTTTTATTGAATGAAATGCATGTTATGCTAATGACCTAATGGAATATATGCAGATGAATGCAAAGTCTTAAGCCAGAATAAGAGAAATTAGGAGGGAAAATTTTAGGGTGCAACAGCTATCCCTTGGAATGATGGAGCTGATGTATACTACCATGGCATCAAGAAAGAACCATTGATGGTCAAAAATGAAAATACAAAAGTTACTAATCCCAATGTTAGCAATATTGTTGGGACTAGTAAGATTACCAGAAGTGGAAGGTTTTTCTATCCAGAGATCTCTCCAAAGGTTGTTACTACACCAATTCGTATCACTACTACTGAATAAACTACTGAGACTCGAGGTAAAGAACGAATGACTGAGCTTGCCCAGACTGAGGCACCAAAAGAGGTTACTGTTGAAGATACCTCCAAGCAAGAGATGAAGGAGGTACTGAAAATTATTCGAAAGAGTGACTATAAGATTGTTAAACAGTTGGGGAAGACCCCCTCAAAAATATCTATGTTATCTCTACTATTGTGCTCTGAAGCCCATGCTTAAGCTTTGGTAAAGTTTCTAAAATTTGTTCATGTACCGTAGGAAATCTCTGTTGATCATTTCGAAAATTATGTTGCTAGACTGACAACTGATAATGGGCTAGATTTTCTGACTCTTATTTAACTCCCACAGGAAGGAACCATAATAAGGCCCTGCATGTTTATATTGAGTGTAGGGGAACTACCTTATCTCATGTGTTGGTGGACACATGTTCCTATTGAGTGTATTTCCAAAATTTGTTTCAGACAAACTTTACTTTGAAGGGGTTGTGCTAAAACCCAGTGATGTTGTGGTGAGAGCTTTTGATGGTTCAAAGAGAAAGGTGCATGGAGAGGTTGATCTTCCAATCAATGTGGGTTCTCGAGTCTTCGACTCTACTTTCTATGTGATGGACATTCGTCCATATTATTCCTATTTTCTTGGATGCCCTAGGATTCATGGGGCACGCGCTGTTACTTCGAATTTACACCAAAAGTTGAAGTATCCCATGAAAGGAAAAATCATTACAGTTTATGGCGAAGAAGAATACACGGTGAGCCATTTTAACTCTTCTAAGTATGTTGATATGGATTGTGAATTCCTCGAGATTCCTTTCCAGACCTTTGAAGTTATTCCTCATACAACCCCTATTGCTAAAACTTCTCCTACTGTTCCTAAAGTTACCAGGATTCCACCAAGAATGGCTTCTCTGAAAGACGCTAAGGCCGTGGTAGAAGAAGGTGGTGGCACTATTTGGGGTCAGCTTCCTGACATTCATTACAAGTCTGACAAGTTTGGCTTGGGTTTCACCTCATAGGCTCAGAGGGCTGTCCGTCGTGCTCGTACTAATTCTGGGAGACCGCCATTCCACATCAGCAACAATGGATTTCACAAAAATCAAGTCAATGTTGTGGAAGACGCTGATAGCGACTGTAACATAGACAGTTAGATTTTCCACATTACCAGCGGTGGACTCAATAATTGGAAGGCTGAAGACTTTATGCCAATCTCCTTTAGTCAGAAGTAAATGCTATTTTTTTTCTTGCTTTCAAGTTTTTGGTTATGTAAATTGAACAATAACTTTAAGCCTTGTGTGTTACTCGGGGCACAACGGTCCATTCGTTAGGATTATCATTTTTCATCCATATATTTTAATTTAATAAATTACTGGACGTTTGCATTCAAATTTTGCGCTCTTTGTCTTTCTTTTACTTTATTGCTTTCAAAATAGCTAAGTGTCCTTACACACACCCACATAACAAATTGCAGATCCACATCCACCCTGGGTCCCATTGGTAACCTTTCTGCTATTTCAAATTATGACTTCAAAAACCTGATCTACCAAGCCAAGGACGAAGGTGAGGAAGATTGTGAAGTACCTGGAGAGCTTACTAGACTGTTAGAGTAGGAAGAAAGAGCCATACAACCACATGAAGAGCCAATTGAGGTTATGAACTTGGGTATTGAAGAGGACAAGAAAGAAATCAAGATAGGTGCCAACCTAGAAGACAATGTCAAAAAGAGATTATTCCATATGTTACGTGAATATGTTGAGATATTTGCTTGGTCTTATGAAGACATGCCATGGCTTGATACTAACATTGTGGTTCATCGTCTACCGGTGAAGGAAGGTTGTCCTTCTATAATGAAAAATGTTCATCATATGTATCCCGAGATGTCTGAAAATATCAAAGTTGAGGTCATGAAGTAGTTTAATGCATGTTTCTTAGCTGTTACATCCTATCCTCAATGGGTTGCAAATATGCTTCCAGTACCTAAGAAGGACGGTAAGGTGCATATGTGTATATAATACATGGATTTGAATAAGGCAAGCCCAAAAGATGACTTTCCACTTCCATATATTGATGTTATGGTTGACAACACCACTCAGCACAAGGTATTTTCCTTCATGGATGGTTTCTATGGTTATGATCAAATCAAGATGGAACCTGAAGACATGGAGAAGACTACTTTTGTCATACTGTAGGGAACTTTCTTCTACAAAGTTATGCCTTTTGGTTTGAAGAACACCAGTGCAACATATCAGCGTGTTATTTTATCTTTGTTCCATGATATGATCCATCACGGGATAGAGGTTTATGTTGATGACATGATAGCCAGGTCTTAGACTGAAGAAGAACATCTTGACCACATGCACAAGCTGTTTGAGAGATTGAAGAAGTACAAGTTGAGGTTGAATCCAAACAAGTGCACCTTTGGGGTAAGATCCGGTAAACTCCTAGGTTTCGTCGTCAATGGTAAAGGTATTGAAGTTGATCCTGCCAAGGTTAAAGCCATTAAAGAAATTCCATCTCCCTATACTGAGAAGGAAGTCAGAGGTTTCTTGGGACGATTGAACTACATTTCTAGATTTATTTCCCATTTGACTACTACTTGTGAGCCAATCTTCAAGTTACTGAAGAAAGATCAAGTAGTGAAGTGGAACGACGATTGTCAGGTAACCTTTGAAAAAATCAAGGAGTACCTCCAGGAACCTCCAATTCTGATGCCACCGGTTGAAGGAAGACCTTTGATCATGTACTTGACAATATTAGAGAACTCAATGGGCTGTGTATTGGGGCAACATGACGAGTCTGGTCGAAAAGAGCTTGCAATATACTACCTTAGCAAAAAATTTACCGACTGTGAAACAAGATACTCACTGCTAGAGAAAACTTATTGTGATTTGGCATGGGTTGCTTGCCGACTAAGACAGTATATGTTGACTCATACTACTTTTTTGATCTCTAAGATGGATCCAATAAAATACATATTCGAGAAACCCGCCCTCTCCAGAAGAATAACAAGATGGAAAATGGTCTTGATAGAATACGACATTCAGTACACTACTTAGAAGGCAATCAAAGGAAGTGTACTGACAAACCATTTGGCTCATCAAGCTTTAGATGACTATCAATCTATGAATTTTGAGTTCCTAGATGGGAATATCATGTTAGTTATTAATTATGAAGAACCTGAACCATATGAAGGACCTGAACCGGGATTCTAATGGACTATCGTTTTTGATGGAGCTTCCAATGCGCTTGGTAATGGAATTGGTGTTGTGATTGTCTCTCCCAAGGGTTGCCATACGCCCTTCACCTCCAGGTTGTGTTTTGATTGTACCAATAATATGGCCGAGTATGAAGCATGCATCATGGGTATCAAAGCTTCCATCGATATGAGAATTAAATTCTTGAATGTATATGGGGAATCAACCCTAGTGATTAGTCAGATTAAGGGAGAATGGGACACAAAGCATCCAAATATCATTCATTATCGAGAGCATGTATTGACATTAATTCCATACTTCAAAGAAATCACTTTTGAACAAATTCCACAAAAAGGGAATCAATTGGAAGACACACTAGATACCATGTCATATATGTTCAAAGTTAGATGGGACAATGAAACTCCTTGAATTACTATTGAGAGACTATACGAACTGGAACATTGCTACGAAGTTGATACTGATGGAGTAGAGGAAAAGCCTTGGTACCACGAAGTAAATAGATACCTCGAAAATAAAGATTATCCTGAAGGGGTATCTATCAATGATAAGAAATTTCTAAGGAGGTTCTCTGCCAAGTTCTTTCTGAGTAACGAAATCTTGTACGAGCACCACCACGATTCGACTTTGCTTCGTTGTGTAGACAAGAAGGAATCTGAGAAAATTATGGAAGATATGCACGAAGGTGTCTTTAGCACTCACTTCAGTGGACATATAATAGCTAAGAAGATTTTGAGAGTAGGTTATTATTTTTCTACCATGGAAACTGGTTTCCATCATCATTCCAGAAATTTCCACAAATGTCAGATTTTTGCTGATAAAGTACATGCACCTCTGGTTCCTTTGAATGTCTTGACTGCTCCTTGTCCGTTTGCAATGTTGGGAATTGATATGACTGGAGAGATCAAGCCTACTGCTTCCAATGGGAGTTGTTTCATCCTTGTCACTATTGATTACTTCACAAAGTGGGTAGAGGCAACCCCGTTTGCTTTCGTTACCAAGAATGTTGTGGATTGGTTCATTAAGTATAACCTTATCTGTCGGTATGACATCTCTGAAAGGATCATCATGGACAATGGTACCAATCTTAACAATACTACGATCAGGGAACTCTGCATACAGTTCAAGATTAAGCATCACAATTCTTCTCCGCACCGACCAAAGATGAATGGAGCAATGGAAGCTGCTAACAAGAATATCAAGAAGATATTGTAGAAGATGATAGTGACATACAAAGATTGGCATGAGATGGTACCATTTTATCTTCATGGTTACCGCACTT